TCATTGCCGAAATTGGTGTTCTTCCAACAATTGATCATCTTCATATAAAGAATTGTGCATCTTCGTAGATGTTCCCCAACAGCATATCTTCATATATATTATTGTGTATCGAAAAATTGTCCATCATTTAAAACAATAATGTTACATAACTGTTAATCTCTCAATTGAAGAACTTCATATCAGCTCTTGGGTGAATTCGAAAGTTACCAAATTACTTGGGTCTGTTTGAAATTACTCAAGTCTTAGAAGACAACTAATTGACTTATGTGATGTTCTAGAGTTGTTTCTCCTAGGAGGCTTGCCACTCCCAATTTGAGATGGCTTTGGATCAAGAATTGTCAACATTTCAAGTCTTTATCTAACCGAATGGAACTATTCTAGTCCCTTAAATGACTGCAATTGAGTAATTTTCCAGCACTTCCCCCAATCTGATCTGTCTTGGATTAATAATTATTGAAAAATTAAACAAGTTAGAGATTGTTTCTTTCTCTAATATGTTAACGATAATGATCAACACTATTTGTTTCCTCCATCTCTAATTNNCTATTTGTTTCCTCCATCTCTAATTGAATAGATCTTGAGTAATTTTAGTCCCAAATCAACGTTTTAACCCCAAAATGCTTAAACAAAACTTGTGAAAAAATTAAAGGTTTAATACAAGAATTTTTCACCAACTAATGGACCCAAAATGTTCATGTTCTTCTAAATGCTACTCGCTAATTAAGCATATGCGAAGCATATTAGGCTCTAATACTAGAAATCGAATCAAGAATTGTTCGATACAAATGTTTGAAGAAACCCTAAGATTTCTTCTACTTCTCTCTAAAAGAGCTTACACTCGACATATTCATTCAATTTTGTCAATATATACAGTTTCGAATATACAAGAATGGATAGCTACAAATCAACACACTATTGAAGGCTACAAATCATGTTATTGGTTGACATTTCGATTTTCTGCTAATTGTATGACTTTAACTGCAGACAGTTCAATTGTTTTGTTATCCTTAATACGCCTCACAAGATGGAATTATCATCGACTAGTTCAATCTTATTTTGTAATTAGGTGGTCTGTGAATGAGAGGGATGTTTAGTAAGGAGGTCAGACAATTGATCTTGGTATTGACATTCCAAACCTATAACTTGCCTTGTTGAACAAGATTGTGGAGCAAGTGTGAGGATAATCACGTGAACTTTGCACCAAGATCCAGGCTCAGTATCGATCGAACACCACAGTTAACCAACTAAACCACAAACCAAACACCTTCCCAAAACCGAACCGACTGCTCCAATGTTTTCAGCCCACAAAGAGCTTTAGGATGAAAGAGATTAAGGCCTAAAGATATGCTAACCACAAAATAAAAAGAGAGACAGATTGCCCAACGAAGGAAGGCACCAAGCCGTCGAGAGCACAAAGCAAAGGAAAGGAATGAATATGTTCTTCTCAAGAAAACACATGGTTGCCTCAATCACTTTCACACTCCAAACAGTAATGGATAGGGTATTAAAATAGGTTAGGATATATGTGGGCTTTTAGGTCAAATAATAGGCCCAATATAAAAGAGCTAAGTCGGCTTACACCTTAAAGCCATCCAGTTATTTGGGTTGGGCCATGAGCAGCACTAATATAATTAGGCTGCTTCAAATGGCCCAAGTAGATTACGTGATAAGTTTAGTCAACTGTGGTGTCGAAACATATTCAGTCATTTGGTCGAGGCCGACTGAATAAAAAGCAATACTTATATCATCGCCCAGGAAGGTCGTTTGACAACAAGTTTGTCTAACAAACCTCCAGCTTGGTGTCAAATGACCTACAAAGAAGAAATTACTAAGCATTAATAATAATCCAGAAAGGGAGAACCAATAAAATTGAAAATTATTTACCTCCACCGATATTTAGAAGATCTTTACAACTTCTAAAATTCACCAACGGTACTACCTTAGTGCCCATGTCTGAGAGATTATATTGTGTGTGTATTTTCTCAAGCCTTACAACTTCTTATGACATAATATCTCTAATGAAATGTAATATAACATCGATGTGTTTGATGTGTTCGTGAAAAACAAGATTCTTGCATAAGTGTATAGATGACTGATTATCAGAATATACTACCACATACTCATTTAAAACACAAAGTTCATGTAGAAGGCTTCTAAGCCATAAAGTTTCCTTGATAGCTTCAGTAGTAGTGATGTATTCAGATTCTGTCGTGGATAGTGCAACTGTCTGTTGTAACTGTGATTTCCAACTAATACAGGAATTAGACAAAGTAAACACATAAGAAGAAGTGGATTTCCTATTATCTCTATCCACATCATAGTCAATATCAACAAAACCCTTCAGTTTAACACTCTCATTATTGACACCAAACCTTAGAGCTACATTACAAGTTCCCTTTAAGTACCTTAACATCCATTTCAAGGCTTTCGAGTGTTCAGGACCAGGATTAGACATGTAT